CGATAATATATTGATTTTTGAATTTGAATAATTACATCAATACATTCATAGTTATTTCAAATATTAAAATTTATAACCTGAAAAATAATTAAAACCTATTATTATTAAATATTAAAATTAAACTAATAGTATTTAAATTCATTAACATACATTTTAGAATGTTGATGTTGGAAATATTTGTACTTAGTGTAATAACTATTCATTTGCACTAAAATAATTAATTCTGAAAATGGAATACGTACATTTTAGATTCTGAGTGAAACGATGAATGTATTGATTTTACAATGATGTGTGTTTTTTTTTTATTTTTTTTTTTTTTTATTTTTTATTTTTTTGTGTCTGTGTACACGATAAGTAGTCGAAATAATGCTTCGATTTTCGACTTCAGTATCTTGTTCGATTGGAAAGTGAATATCGTTGGTGCATTGGGGAGGTCAAAATTTAAATTTCCCAGTAGTTTTCAAGAGCGCCGGGAAAAACAAAAGAAAAATTAAGGAAAAACGGGAATTTTTACGCAAAATCGATTTTTCAGAAAATTGAATTTGGTTTTTGGTGTAACTTTAAAACAAATGACCGTAGGTACATGCAATTTTCACTGGTTGTTTATATTTGCATCTTCTATACACGATAACATTTTCAAAATATTTTGATTTATTTTGAACAGTTTAGGGACATTTTCATTTTTAGTTTTTTTTTAGTTTTTTTTCTAGAAATATCAATAAAATTTTATTTGTTGGTTGCGAAAGCTTGAAAATTTAATAGAAGGCTCCTAATATATTGTTTCAAGGGCAGATGAAAAATATTAAAAATCCTTAGTCACAATTTTTTTTTATAAGCATTTAAAGTTCAAAAATTGACAAAATATGGAAAAATCACGAAAATTAGCAAATTATTTTGAGTTAAGAATTCGTAAAAATTTTTCTTTTTAAATCTAAGATTTGAAAATCTAATACAAGATTACTCATAAGATTGTCTACCTTTATCAATAAAAAAATCTCTACCGGAAAGTCAAATTAAATTTTTATGAGCGTTTGAAATTCAAATTTTTACAACATTGGATATTCACTCGATTTCTCATGTGGCAATTTCCTTTTTTTGTTGTAATTAAAAAACGAATTACTGTAGATACATGAAAATTTCACTGAATGTTTATATTAGCATTTCCTATACACCATACAATTTTGAAAATATTTTGACTCTTTTTGAGCCGTTTACGGACATTTTCAGTTTTCAATTTTTTTAGTTTTTTTTTTTTTTTCTATAAATATTAATTAAGTTTTATCTGAATATCCAAAAAGGCGGTCTGATCCCCCTCAATGTCATAATTGCCAAAAATATGGACACACACGTAATTATTGCCATCACTTTCCACGCTGCGTAAAATGCGGATCAGAACACTCAACTAACGAATGCACAAAACAACGGGAGGAACCCGCAAAATGTGCAAATTGTGGTGGAAACCACACCGCAAACTACAAAGGATGCCAATCCCTTAAAAAATTACTAAACCGCACCAAACCTAAAGCTAAAAAAATAAATAAAGAACAGCAACCTATTCCAACACTTGCTATACCGCCTATACCACCTCCATCTCGAAGAAGTGGAAATGAAGCCTCCAGTTCAAACTCAAAAGGAAAACCGTCATACGCCGAAATCGCAGCTAACAGACCACCACCCGATCAATCTCTACACATCATCACCAAATTCCTCGACGAACTAAAATCTATACTTAACCCCCTTCTTACTGTATTAACATCCCTAATAAACAAAATAACACTCCCTATAACCCCTACTCCATAACACACACACACTCACACACACACACACCACATATTCCGTACATCAATAACACAAACACACAGTATATCAATATTATTATATACATAACTTAAATTAAATTGCTATTGTTATTGTTATTTATTTATAACTAACTTGTTAGAGGGTATCCACACTGGTGGGCCTCCCTCCTCATGCCTTTCATGTTGTTGTATTCTTTCATTACCAAATTTACTTATTGTATATAAAAATTACAGATTGTAAATATTCAAAAAAAAAAAAAAAAAAAAAAAAAAAAAAAGTTTTATCTGTTGGGCCAAAAAGTGTAAAAATTTAATACAAGGCTCCTGATATATTGTTACAATATCAGTTGAAAAATATTAAAAATACATAGGCACAATTTTTTTTTATAAGCATTTTAACATCGAATTTTGACAGAATTTTTCAAAATCTCGAAAATTATTAATCATCGTAATTAATAAATTATAAAATGTTCAGTTTTTATAGCTAAGGATTGAAAATTTAAAACAAGATTTCACGTAAGTAGTTAATTCTCTTACCGAAAAATCTAAAAAATATACAATCACAGTTTATTTTTATAGTCATTTTATGTTCAAATTTTGACGAAATTACATATTAAAAAACCTAGTTATTTTGTTGTGATTATATAATATTATTCGTGGGTACCTACTTGAAACTTCTAAAGTGTACTATTATATATATATGATAGTATCAGGGTTTGTTGTTGGTGTATAACGTGTTATTAGTACCTAATGGATATTGTGATAATGTGATATGATTAATTTGGAATTTATTATAGGTCAATTTTTTTTTAATACCATAGATATGTATATAATTTGTCTTAACCTAGACTGACATACCGTCTTCGCTCAGAATCGTTTTTCTTATACAATGATATTGTATCATTGAATTCAAATTTAATAGCATCAATTATACAGTGACCCACTTGTAACCTACTGTATAGCAGAGCGACATCCACTTACCCACCTTTTTACATATTTAACTTACATACATGTGATGATTGGAAGAAATTAGTTTTTTTAATAAAAATGTATCAATTATTTATTTCATACTCTGTATTTTTAGTCCTATACTAGGTCCTATGACATTAAGTTCTGAAATGGTATTAACACTTAATAATATTAAAATATATAAAGTAGTAGGTTACAAGTTAAATGGTTCAACTTACAGTTATAACAACATGGTATTTATCATTACTGAAATGGACCAAATCAATAGTCCCCAATATACATATGTACAGTACTTTGATAGTTAACTAATTGGACAATAGTTTATGAAACTACCTACCTATTACATTAAAATACAATTTAATTATTATTAATAATATGTATATTGTATTAGATTATTTAATATTATTAATAAATTAATAATGAATTCATCTGTACTTACATTCTGAAGCTAATTTATTTTACATTAGTATAGTTACAATGTTTCTTATCACTCTTGGTTTATTAAATAACTAATTTAACTAAATTAAATTACTGTAGCACTTTGTCATATAGGTAGTTAGTATTGTTTATAATTTTCATAAGATATTTTTGAAAAACATTTCTTCAAGTTTAGGCCAATTGTGTATTATACAACATTGTCGTCACAGAGAATATTATTGTATAAACACTCATTGCTTTGCATACAATATATTAAAAATGATTTCATGTTCTCTCAAATTGTCTGTAAGGTTTTTTATTAAGAATACTTGAGTAGGTAATATAATTTACTTACTGGATGAATAACTGTCATAATTACAATAATATTGTAATATTGAAGTTCAGCACATATGGTGGTGATAACTGGTGGGTGGTCACTAGTCAGTCATATTTGAATAATATTCAATGATTATGTTGTATACTTATAATTGACATAGATATTACGCATCACTTTTACCACACGCTTCACACTTAACACCAAACATTGAAAAATGAATCGCGTACATACGTTATGTATTTTGTGTTAATTGTATAATTAATTTATTACCATAATAGTATAATATACAACTACTGTATCAGGCTTAGTATTTGCTTGATAATTGTTGATAATTCGTGATAACAAATTTCATTATTTCTTGGAAAAAAAAAATTAAAAATCGATAATCGATCAATTGCTGTAACACTGATGAACAAAAATAAATTTGAATTTAAAGAAACTTTAAAAATTGCTTAAAAATTATTAACTTAACCTTAGTAAAAGTTTTGACACCAACATTTTTCTTAAAATTGGATTTACAAAATAGCTTTCTTGATTTTTTTAAATACCAAATAGACAATTTTTTAATTTTTTAATTTTACATACAAAATGTTTAAAAAAAATCAAAAAATATTTTAATTGTATCGCAAATGAAAATTGACAATTAAAAAAAAAATATGTTGAAAATGTTCAATAGAACAAAAGTAATTGCAATTGTCTGTTCATCGTGAAACACCCTATATTGTTTTTATGTATACAAAAATACTGTAATAATAATATATTACGTATGTTGTTCAACGTCATGCTTTAGATTCTTTATTGCCGCCATAGATGTATTTCCTAATTGTTTATACTTAAAGAAGTTTTCGACTAATTTTCTAAGATATACAACAGTTTTCGTAAAATCAAAAGTTACAACAAATTGTTAATGAATCAAACTGCGAGTAAGTTTTAATTTCGTTACCTTCTACTCGGCGTTATATAATATACTTCCGTTCTCCAGGTCAACCCTATATTATGCAGTGTGCATGCAATATTTCACTCATTAAAACTGTGGATTCACCGGTAATAAATCGCCTAGGGCATGATATACAAGTGATTCATTAGACGTCAGAGTTGACAGTCAAAACAAAAAACACAGTGTTATAATAAAAATCAAATTGGTATTATGAATTGCGATCAAATATAACAATTAAACATGCTTTGAAAGGAATATTATGTTGCTGGTATAATAATATAAGAATTTACAAAATATGATTAATAAGTAAGGGTAGCAATAGTATTTATCGATAGCTGTTATTGATAGGTTTAGCTTTCCTCGTCCTTTAATAAATTAAAACAGATATATTGTTTTATTGAAATTTCAAAGAATAGAAAAAAAGTAAAACTTTAATTGCGTTCGATTAATATTTAAAAATATTACATTGCATTAATGTATTGTATAAAATTATACAATACAATTTAATGGTGTTAGATCACATATTTCACAATTATATCCGATGGCAACTTATGTTTACTGTGCAGCACACACCTTAAACTTGGCAGTATCTAAATCTTGTACAATACAATCAATTAGAAACTGCTTGGGTACTATTGGAAAAGAACGAGATTTCTTTGTATACCCAAAACGAAAAAATATACTTTCGCAAACGATCGAAGACTTTAATGGAACAATTAATGCAAAAACATTAAAACTCAACTGTGCTACAAGATGGATCGAACGTTTTCATTCGATCATGATTTTATCGTACTTTTGGAATGTGTCATTGATTCCTTAGACACTATTAGTAGTTGGGCCGATGGTGATACCTCAAGTCAAGCAAATAATTTAAAACTTTCAGTCTTACTAGGAGAGTTTATCATATCACTTTTAGTTTTATTTAAAATATTTGCAGTTGGATTGACACTGTATAAACAATTCCAAAGCGTTGCTATTGATTTAAGAGAAGCTATTTAAGTTTAGCTTATGAGACACTGTCTGAATTAAAATATATTCGAAACTAACATTGATGAGTATTTTCATGATATCTATATAAAAGCATCTGCTCTAGCTGAGGAGTTGTGTTTTTCTACATCATTACCTCGAATTGCACGCAAACAAAAAAACAGAGCTAACTATTCAGTGAATACACCTGAAGAGTATTTTAAAATAACAATATTTATACCTTATTTACACATGTTTATAAATGAAAAAGAATCAAGATTTATTGAACATCAGAAAACATTAAAAGGATTTCAAAACTTATTTCCAAACACGTCAGAAATGTCAACAATTGAAGAAGATGAATTTATTAGTTTGATAGATTTTTATAATGATGATATGGCAGATAAAAATAAAGATATTTTGATATCTGAGTTAAAACTTTGGCAACGTAAAATACTTGCACTAGAAAAACAGCCTAAAAATGCTATGGATGCTTTAACTATCTGTAATGACATGTATCCAAATATATACAAATTACTACAGATTTAGCAACACTACCTGTTTCAACAGCTTCATCCGAAAGATCTTTTTAATCATTGAAGAGAATTAAAACGTATCTAAAGAATACAATGTCACAGGTATTTATATAATTTAATATATAGAAACTGTATATTTAATAAAATAAAAATATGAATGATATTTTAAATTTTTATTTTTAGAAAAGATTGAATGGATTGGCAATGCTGTCCGTTCATCGTTCAATATCAGTAGATGCAAGGGAAGTTTTGGACGAATTATCTACATTCTACAATCAAGCGTCGAGTGGATTTTATTTTATGAATTATTTTTTTTTTTTTTTTTTTATTTAAGGTTTACAGGCTTCAACTACAAAGGTTATTAGCCAACATTTTTGTTTAAGTTTAACAAAAAAAAAAAAGAAAAGTAAATTACAATATTAAAAATTACAATATTTGTTTAAATAGATTTACAATTTAATTTATATTGAAACTATATTTTGTTAATAAGGTTGTCTTTGGTGATGAATTCGATAGTTTTTAAAGTATATGTTCTTCATTTAGAGCTTCTTTGATGTTGAGTGGGAGGTTGAGAAGAGTGCGGGTTGGTTCGTGTATTGGGCATTCTTCAAAAATGTGTCTTATGGTGATCCGGGTTTGGCATGTGTTGCATATAGGGGGTTGATCTTTACTGATTAGGAAGGAGTGTGTGAGAAAGGTGTGGCCGATTCTAATACGAGTGATGGCAATATATTGACGTCGGTTGAGGTCCGGAGGTGTAAACCACTGTTTCACAGATCATTTAATGTGTTTAAGTTTGTTGGTAGGCGGAATGGAGTCCCAGTGGTGTTGCCATGACAAAAGTATTTTATTTTTGATGGACGTAAAAATATCATAGGATGATATTTTGTCGATGGTGCTGTTATGTAGAATATTAAAGGCAAAGGGAGGCTGCTTCATCGGCCATTTCGTTACCTTTTATTCCTACATGGGAGGGTACCCACATAAATTCGAAGGTTTTCTGGGTGTTGATTAGTTCAGATTGGGTATTATGAATTATTATAACACTCTAATATAAAACTATTGCAACAATTTATAACTAATACTAATTTGAAAAAAAAAAAATAATAAAAATGACGTTTAGTTTAACTAATAACTTGTAATTTGTATCATAAATATATTTAACCCCCCCCCCCCCCCCCCCCAGAAAAAAATCGTATCTACGCCGCTGTGTATAATTATTGAAACAGGTTAAGATGTTGGTAAATAAGAAATTGTTTTCAAAGAATTTTTGCATTTATCTGTGAAACGCCAGTTAGCTGTTGATGGTGGATAATGAGACGACTCTGTAAGAATATTTGATAAATGTTAAAATCAATTATCATTATCCGAAACGCTTCGTTGTATATGCACGACGTTGAAGTCGATGTGGGTCAATTTTAATTCACGTCTCATTCAATCTGCAGGAATCTATATACAGGTCTCATGGCAAATTCTTATCGGGTTAAGTACGGATCAAATATTAAGTCATTATTTTATTCAAATGAAATCAGTACCAGCACTGATTTTTATCCAACAGTTTCTATTTTCATAATTATATAGTGAGATGCTAAACAAATCCCAATAGTAATTTAGGTAATAAAAAACAATATTTGAAATTAAAAATTAAAATTGTATTGTTTTTAAGCCTTTACACATAAGTTATAATTACAATACATATATTTACTCACAAATTGGATGTTTCATTATGGTTTTTATAACGAGTCAGCTGTAGGATAATAATAACAGTAATATACGTCAAGGTTCATTATAGTAGTTCGTACTCACAATAATAACTTAACGAGTGGTGCTTTACGCAGGAAAAACGTATCCTTATCCTTGACTACAAAGTTTCTATGTCTCAGAGATATACCTAAGATTCGCCATTAATAGTAATTAGTGGGGTCGATTGTCAAATCTCTAAAGAACGTCGGATGAGGCACCATGGTCTTAGACGCACCGTAGTATTTTTAGACATTTTACACCGGTAAATATTGGTCAAAGGGTGTCTGTCTAAGTGTGAGGTGTGACATAGATCTATGGTTGTGTATTATACCTGCAGCGTAAGTACTTGAACGTTTGACGTTTTTGTTCGTAATATACATAAGGCAGAGTACTTCAAGTAGGTATACTAACATTATACCCTCGAAAACCTTATCCTATATTGCCTAATTGGCACTAATAAACCGTGAAACCCAGTGCAAAATAGTTTCCACAGCTCAGTGAGTTGTCTTACACTCGCGTACACGTTTTTAGGTCAGCGCGGGGAGACTATGATGATGATGATTTTCAAATACGAAAATGTTTAGTTGCCTTTGTATGCGCAGAGCAAGTACTAATTATCGTATTCTATTATTATTAACGAAATAATACAACAGTTCAATATCAGAAACTGACAAACCTCATTGGAAAATTCCGATGAACAACATAACACCAGTAATTGGAACGCTGTACGCAGCTTATTATAGTTAGGTATATTATACGACTGTGAATAAAATATCGATGGGAGGGAAACGATTGCATTAACATTTGAATATATTTTGATAAGCTTTGTTACAATTTAATACTACTAACGAAAACAATTAATATTATTTATTAAAAACCGATCAGATTTAACTCTGGAGGTCTGACGGAAATAATGGACATGACAAAAAAAACATAAATCAGGTTATACTAAAACCCATTTGGCAACAAAAAGCTAAAAAAATAATTAGCCATGTATAACAATAACGAAAATATAACATACGACAAATAATGAGACAAGAAACTAAAAACAAATATATTCTTTGATGCGTTCAGTATATTATCTAAGACTGAGAAGTAAAACATAAGTGTTAATTAAAATTGTTGTCGGGGACGTTGTATAGGCAAATAATATATCTCATAGTACATGCTATATTGCTGTAGCTATACACATTACACAGTATGGTCACATATTTTTACTTTCGTCAGATAATTATTATTACCTTACCAATTATGTGGTATTATGGTGCCCGTTTACGGTAAATTAATTTTAACAATCGTCAAATGGATTGTGTAGGTACGTAAAATAAAACAAACAGTAATCAGTAATCACCGTCGTGTTAGAGTATAATACGCGATTTACGTGTTGGTGTATGATGTTCAGATAAAATATATAATATATAAATTGTTTACCACTAATTGTGCGATCGGACCAGATAATATAATTAATTTATGTAAATTCTCGTTCCTTAATAAAGTTAAATATATAAAAATGGAAAAAAGTAAACACATTTAATGCCTGTTAAGTACTCAAAAGTACATCACCGAAAAATCGAGGCTCTTAACAAATTAATAGTGCATGAAAATACTTGTCTTTAAATAATTAAAACAATTTAAATGGCTAAAATCGAATGAAAAACCTTAAGAACTTGAATATTTCTTGCAAAATTATTATGGACTCAAGAGTATAAAAACAAAATAAAATATACAATAACCCTAATCTACCTATATACCTATTACCTACTATACGTTCTGTGATCGGTATAAATAAACCACGAGTTTTATTTACGAATAAAATATTATAGTTTATAGTAAAATGGAAATAATAATATTTTCTCGTAGTTTGTACTTTTATAATAATATATTATTATGTGTATAATTATTCTTTAGTATCTTAAAATTTTCATTTATCATTTTTAACTTAATGAAATTATTTTTGTCAATATTATTCGTCATTTTAAATATTCTGTAGAAATAGAATCCGATATTCGTTCACATAGGTATAGTAATCATTATATTGTCATTACTATATTTGAGTATATCACTATACTACAACAGTATATTACTATATTTTTATATATCTATATTATATACAGTAATAAAATATTCTAAAAAAAGCAGTTTTACAAGCTTATGTTTATGATTTACAATATTGTAAAAACGTCCAATAATCTCACTATAAATTATACTTTTTTTTAGTAGACAATATACAATCTATAATGTCTGTATCATGGATATAATGAATATAATATGTGGGTTAAGAAAAAAAATTGAACATGACTTACAGAATTTAATACCACTTTGGGGAACTATAATATATTATACTAAATAGTAAATTTAGATGAAAATTGTGTTATTTTAAAATTACCATGGGTAATCCTTTCATTAAAATGCTAAGTAATATTACGTCCGTGTCACGGGCAATCGCCACCAACGTGTGTATTATTACAGTTTGTGACAGTGTAGGTAAGAGAGGGTAGTAATAATCACCCAAGGTGTAATATCTAATCACCTACACTCTACAGTAACCAGTGGTTAAAACTCTCCCACCACCCTTTTATTATTACCAGGGGAGAATTGATTTCCTTAGACACCGGTACGTAAGAAATGAGTATCACACTCTCGGTCAATGTATCGTGGCTGTGATTTTTATTACACAAACATTTTTGGTTTCATCCCAACTAAACTCATGTGCTGGAAGAATATTAAGGACTTAACTGCAATCTCTAAAAATATAAACCAAAAACATTATCCACTTATATATTATAATTATGAATATTTTCATTTGTATTTTGTAAATTACGTCGTAGATTTATAAACCACTTCCTACTTTTTTTTCGGTGTACCTGTCTGGTTGATAATAATATTATTATGTTAATTGGAAGAAAATACATAATGTGACGGTAATTTTCTTATGCAATATTATTTAATTTTCTTTTATCTTATGTATGAATTTATATTTTATATTTACAACTTGTTGGTAGATATTTTTATGAATACGTCATTATTTTCTGAGGGTGTAATATAAAAAAATAACAATTATTCTCATATTTATTTTTTTCAATTTCAAATTATCAAAATAATTACCCGGCTTCAAATAATCCGACCTTCAAAATAATATAATGAACTTGATAGCTTATAGTGATTAATTAAACTAATGGTCGTTAAAGATTAAAAAGATTTTAAACGAAGATTTATTTTAGCCTCAATAATAATGTATATTACAATAACTTCAAAAACATTACCCAATTA